CCTGACTCTTCTGCCTCACGCTGCCACCCCTGTCGCCTTGTCTCTGGAGACCTGCAGGCCTCCGGCTCCTTATCCTGGGTCCACTCGGCCACCCTGTCTTCCTGGACCCACAGCTGCTGGAGAAGCCACCACCTGACAGTGCCATCTGTCCCTGTTGTGTTCTGCCTCCAGCATGGCTCCCATGGCTCTCACTGTGGGAGCCAGTGCAGTCTGGCCTGTGGGGTCACCTGCCACCCACTCTCCCTCAGGGCCTTTGCACCTGCCTTTCCCTCTGCCTGGGGTACTTCCCAGCTCACCTCCTGCAGAACTAGACACGTGGAACTGAGTAGTGAGCCGGAGAGTTGGGGGGCATAGCAGGGGCAGTGCCCCCCCCCGCCCACTCAGGCTGGCGGTGGGAGTCACCTGGTTGCCCCGAGGCCCTGTTTCCATAGAACCCCTGCCCTTACCCTTAGCGATCTTGATGTCCAGGGCTGTGCGGATCAGGGCCATGAGGGTGGAGTTGAAGTGCACGGTGTTATCGTCTGCCACTGGCAGGTCCATCCGCAGGAGCCTCTACAGAGAGCCGGAGGCCAGGCATCACTCCCAGGCCCGCTCCTGGTTCCCTGCCAGCCAGACCCCTCCCACACAGGCCCCAGGAAGAACTCTGAGGCTAGAGGCTGAGGTACGACCCCCCCTCCCCTGGGATGGCCGGCCCCAGGCCACTCCTGCTGCCCAGTCTGTGCCCTGGCCTCTCCCTGTGGTCAGGGCCCCTGCTCAGATCTCGCCTGGCCCCAGAGTTCTTCTGGAAGGCCCTTCCGTTCAGACTCCAAAGACGAGCGGGCACAAGGCCCCGTCCACAGCAGCACGAGCAGCAGCAAGCAAGGGGCCTCGGCCCCCCGCCACCCCCCAGCCGGGCCCAGACCCAGGCGGACCAGACGGCCACAGACCCCAGCATGCCTGTGAGCAGCGGCCCCCCAGGTCGGGCCCCTCTGGGACATGCAGCAAGCCGGACACACAGCAGCACAGATGGCGCATGCAGACGGAATTCGAGACTCATTCATAGCTCCGTGGGGCGGGGGTGTATCTGGGCCGCCCTGGGGCCAGGCTCTGCAGTGGCGGCGGGGAGGGGCATCCCAAGGTCGGGAGAAGACCGACTCCCAGCGTCCCAAGCAAGGGCTCTGCTTGCTGCTGGGGGGCGCGGGAGGGCTGGTGTGTACCAGCCCAGGCAGAGGGTGCATGGAGAGTGAGGGGGGTCCGGGGGTGTCAGGGAGATACAGACACACACCAGCAGGAGACAGAGCTGGAGACAGGAAGGGAGAGGGCAAGTCCAGAGTGGGGCACACGGGGTGGGGTGGGGGGTGGGGGGCAGTAGGGACACAGGCCCAGTCGGGGTTGCTGTGTGCAGGTTGTGGACCGCGCCAAGGATTCCCAGACTCAGAAGCCTTTGTGCGGTTCGTGTGAGGGTAGGAGAGTATCCCGTTCTCAGCACACAGGTGTATTCCCACCATCAGACAGACAAGGAGGGTCCTTTGGAAAATGGGTCTTTTCCAACTCTGCACAAAACTGCCTTTGGGCAGCGGGGGCTCAGTCCAGAGCTTGGAGGGGGAGGCTAGATCCCCCTCTCTTCACGCACATACATACGTCCTGGTGAACAGAGACCAGAAGGGGCACGTAAGGGATTGGGGGGTGGGGTGGGCAGACGCAAGGAAAGGGTCAAGGACCCTGACCTGGACTGGGGAGGGTGTGTGGGAGGAGACAGAGGGGGCGAGGCACACGGAAGGGTGGGAGGGCTCAGGAGGCAGTGTGAGCCGGGATGGAGGGGGGGATGGGATGTTCTTTTTTGGGATGGGGAGGGGAAGACTTCAAAAGTCATCCCTGAACATCTTGCGAACGAGTCTGAAGGAACAGAGCGTCTGTCCTTGGGCCCCAAGGGAGATTTGAGGAGGGGCCTAGAGGGGGGGCCTGGGCCAGCTGCCTGGCGGCAGGCCCCTCACCCTTCAGCCAGCATGCACTGCCCCGTTGCTGTGGTGCCTGCCCGCCCCGGCCCCGCCAAGGCAGCGTGCATGGCCTGCATCAGGTGCCACGGTCCAGGGGTCCAGCTGCGGCCCGCCTGCCCACTCTGGAACAATGGAGAGGTATGTTGGGAGGTCTGGGCGAATGGGTGGCAGGGGGCAGAGCTGGGAGCTCCAGGGGACCGGGGGCCTTGAGTAGGGGGTGGGGAGGAGAGGCTCTGGGGTGGGGGTGGGGGCTACCTGGTAAATCCCCCCCAAGGTCCTAGGTCAGAGATCAGCTTCAGGTGTGTGTGGGGAGAGGTGTCCCGTTAGGGGGGGCGGGTTCCAGAGAAAAGAATCAGGAGGTGGGGCCAGTGCCAGGCCAGAGAGTGGCCCGGAGAGGGTTCCCCGCCACTCCTGGAAGCCAGCTGGTGTCCAATTTGGTGCCCAAGGGGGGACAGGTTCGAGGGGATCTGGGGGGGCTCCCCTCCCCCCTGGTGTATTGGCCATAATGGAGTCTCTGCAAACACGTAGACACTCATCAAAAAAGACGGACACACTGTACTGGTTAGGGTCGGGGGGGCACGGGGTCAGGACCAAAGTGCTCAAGGAGAAAAGAAAAAGCAAAAAGAGTGGGGGTAGGGGGGTGGATAAAAACGAGCGAGAGAAAGAGTAACGCTAGAAAAAGAGATGTGGTTGTTTCCGGCCAGCACTGAAAAATCCCCCGTGGCCAGCGGGTGGCAGCGGTGGGCAGGGTAGTCTACCTTGTAGGCCACTCGGGCCGGACACTTCTTCCCCAGACCCAGGGGCGGAGACATGTGTCTCAACATCTGGTACATGTCCGGGTAAGCCATGCGGCCCCTGGCAGCACCGAAAACGGAAACAAAAACAAGGGGGTGGTGGGGGTGGGGAGGGGGACGGAGGGCCAAAGAAAGAGCGAGAGGGGTGGGGGAGGGGGAGAAACAGGAGAAGAAGAAAAAGATAAACAACAAGAAAAAAAAATCACGAGCCAAAAAAAGAGAGAGAGGAAGATGCAGAGGACGAGATAATAGGTATTTCAAATAAATGGAAAAGGGGCAGGAAAAAAATGGAAGAAAAGGTCATTAAAAAAGAAAAGAAGAGAAAAGAAAAAGATTATTCCACTGCTCAGGAGCAGAGAGGGAGAAAGAGAGAGAAAGAAGTCAGGTTGCATTTCAGTCTGAGCTATGGTTCCGGAGGCCCTGGAGCCGAGCTCTGGCGAAATAGATCTTTTTACAGTGGCGTGGTTGGGGGCCTGTTTGTCTTGGGTTTGGCTGAGGCTGGTCTCTGAGGGGGCCTAGGAGAGGAGGAGGAGGGGTTTGGGGAGATGAGGGGTGCAGGTGATGGAAGAGGGGGACCCCAATGCAGAGTCCCCATTCCCAGGAGATAGCTGGTTTGGGGTGTGGTGGATACCCCAGGATGGGCAGCTTCAGCTAAGAGCAAGCAGAGATGGCTGAGGGGTACCAAGGGCTATGTTTCATGCTTCATCAAGTCTACGTGACTGCATTCTGTTGACTAAGAGACATTTTCTAGTTTAATGCAAGAAAGAGAGAGAGAGAGATGGCTCTGTGTTTAGATATATATATATATATATGAAATATATATATTGAAGAACCCCAAGCCACACTCATTCCATTGATGCTAGCAGGTTTTAGTGGAAATCAAACCTTGCAAGCAACCCTATGAGGACATTTCTTGCCTAAGCCGAGAGGGGGAGATATTACTCGCAATAAACTGTACATATCCTTATAGTGAATCCGACCACTGAAAGGAGAAGAGAGGGGGTTAGTGGTGACGTGGGGCCAAGGCCTGTCCATACTGGCTCCCGGACATGCAATCAGGCCAGGACACCAAGGGCCAGGGACCTCCTGGCCTGCAGGGTCAGGGTGACTCAGGACGAGTGAAGGTCCGGGATACACCCCCAGATGCTTGTCGACCCGCGGTGTGGGGGGGACACCTCCCACAAGGCGCTCTCTGTGCCTCCCTCCTCCACAGTCTACATGGCCTATACTGGGGGGCTCGTGGAATGGAGGGGGACGGCCTCCCATTGCTGTGACCTAAAATCAAAAGAGGAAGAGTTAGGACATAGCTGGAAGCCCAGCCCTAGCCCCGCAGCTCAGCTCAGCCTGGGGCTCCTGGAGAACGTGTTCTGGGGCCTTGGGAGTCCAGAGGAGGGTGGGGCTCGCGAAGCTGAAGGCCCCAAGCTCAGCCGGAGTGGGCACCTCAGCTAGTGGAGTGGGCTTCAAGTACCTTGGAGACTCTGGCAGGGGTGTGGGGCAGAGAGGGCCCCCCTCGGTACACGTGCTCCCAGAGGGGAGGCGGGAGTTGGTACCCACAAAGAGGGAGTTTTGGCTCCCTCTGTGACCATGAAGACCCTTGTGGCACTCAGGTTGTGGCTCACCCTGCCATCCTACCTGTCCTGCATCCCACCTGAGCCAGCACTGTGGCTCTTCAACCATCCTGGCTCTTGACGGACTACCCGTTCCAGGGCCCCATGCACTGATGGGAGCACCGCGCTGCCGTTCTGATTGCCTTCTGCCAAGAGAGCCAGGCCAGAGCTCTCTTCCCACACACCCAGGAGGCCTTACACTGAGGGCAGACGGAGACTTGTGGAGGCAAGGCGCCCCCAGAACTCCTCATAGGTGACTCCCTCCCTCATTTCCCAGAAAGCCTGGGGCTTGACCAAGAGTGGCGCCCCAAGCGTTGAGTCCAGGTTGTGCACGAGTGCTGCCTCTCACATCCCACCCCCTCCGCCCCGTGAGACCTCCTGGAGACCCTCTGGGACTTCTTACCAAGCTGCAGGGTCGTACTCGGCCCAGACACGCACGTACTCATCCAGGTGGTGAGGACCCAGGATGGAGGAGTCTCGGGTGAGGTACTCAAAGTTGTCCATGATGACAGCAACGAAGAGGTTCAGCATCTGTGGGCACCCCAGGGAGCCGAAGGGGAGAGAGGATCGGACACAAATGCAGAGGCCCACAGGGAGAGGAGATGGTCAAGGGAGACGGAGACACAGGGAAAACGAGATGGCATGGGGACAGCCAGGAGATGCGCCAAGCCCCAGAGAGAAGGGGGTGGGGAAATGGAGGAGAGAAACAGATAAGGGCCAGAGCCAGAATGATGGAGAGACGGGAAAAGGAGAGAGGAAGAGGGAGGGAGAAACAGACACACCCTATGTGAACTGGTGCCCAGGCCGAGGGGACTGGCATGGCCCCCTGTCCTCTCACAGTCTCCTACATGATCAGATTGAGAACTTCACATGCAGTACGAGTCTGCTTTCCTTCTGGGCTGTGGCCCCAGCTGCTGGACAAAATAAGTGCTCAGCAAATCTTTCTTGGATGAATGGGTGGAGAGGTGGGTGAACAGGTGGATATTTTTCCCTGTCCTTGCCTGCATTTAGTGGCATCTTTTTCATGTGCTTTTATTCGTCCTTAGCACACAATTAGCTTCCATTGGTCTTGGTTCCAGGACTCAGCATACGCTGCTCCTTTTGTGGACGTGAGTTTTGCCTTCCCAGCACCTAGTCTCCTTTTGGGTAACGGTGCTTGACAGCCCCCTCCCCCTTCGCCTTGACAGCTCCCACCCACGGCACACTCTGATACTGTAGTTAGGTGTGGCACAATGGTGAAGCCCCTGATTGCTTAAGGAAAAGGTTGTCAGTCAATGGCAAACGCACTCGATGATTTTGCACAGGTGTGTTGGTGTGGTGTCCTGTTCCCCTAAAGATCACAACCTAAGAAGCCCCATGGGAAAGTGCTACCCTGTCACATAGAGTTGCTGTTGGGTCAAAGTCAACCCACGGCACCCGGTAACATCTGGGGTGGTGGCCACCTTCCTACAGCCAGCAATTTCCGCTGTGCTGTTTGCTCTGTCAACCCCGTGTGGTCAATCCCTGCATTCTGTCCCCTCCAACTGAAACACCTGGACGGGTTCTGTTTCTGATGGTGCACTGGCTGATAAGAGCGAGAACACAAAAGACATTTGTCCCTGGGGGAGTGCCAGAGAAAGGAAATGGAAGCTCCTTTGAATTTGACTTTTCCTTGGGGGGGCTGCAGTTGTCCATCATTTGTCAGTATTTTTCACCCCCTGGACTTATGAGATTCATTTTTCTCCTTCTGGAAAGAGTATCTTTCATTAGTGACAACAGATTCCATTCCTTGCAAGATCCCATGTCTCACTAGAGAATGCTGAGGTGCCAAACCCTTCTTCTTGCTTCTGGTTGTGGAGAGGAGGCGAGTGTTTCCCCACGTCAACTAGAAGAACCAGCTCTCAGCCCTGCCAGCTTTTCCTTGAGCATAACCCAGTGCTTCTCAGCAGGGGGGGGGGCAGCTCTGCCTGGCAGGGGACACTGGGCAATGTCTGGAGACACCCATGACAGTCAGACCTGGGGGTGAATGCTACTGAGATCTCGTGTCAGAGATGCTGCTAATGGCCTTACAGTGCCCACGCCGGGCTCCCATATGCCCCGGAAGAAAAAATGACCGGCCGCAGATGTCAGCAGCGCCATGGTTCAGAACCCCTGGGCAACCACATCCAAGGCTGGCTCAGGGTGGTCTTGCCGGGAACAGGTCTGCCACGCGGCACACTTGGGGGGCCCGTTTCCCCAGAGTGGGACCCAGGCTAAGGGCAGCCCACCACATATGCCCACACAACTCACCAGGAACGAGCAGAGGAAGATGAAGGAAACGAAGTAAAAATAAGCGAACTCATTGCCACAATCGGGAGTCAGGATGCCCGAGTTTTTATCACACGGCTTCCCGCTGAGGCAGGACAGCATGATGTTGTGCCAGGCCTCCCCAGTGGCACTCCTGAGGACAGAGGGGTGGCATCAGGGGCTTGGGCACCCCATACTGCCTGAGCCAGGGGAGCCTGGTAGTCAAGCCCTGGGACTCTGGAGCTCAGGGTCAGGGTGTCATCCTTAGTTGGGACAACCACCTGGGGTGGGAGGTGGGGGTGGTGGAGGGGACTCAGAAACACACTGATTCCAGGGCCCCACCCTCACAGACTTGGGGCTTTTCTGGTCCTGGTGGAAGCTGGGGTACACCTCTGCTTCAACAGTCCCCCAGGCGGTTGCCACCTTTGACCATCTGGTCGGTGCTCCAGGCACACCGTGACCTCCTGGCCCGCCTCCTAGAACTTGTTTCCAGATTGACTGACCCCCGACTGGGACGTGAACTTCCAGAGGATGGAGAATGGTGTCTTTCTGCCTTGTTCCCTGCTGCACCCCAGCAGCCACCGCTGTGCCCGGCACAGAGGGGTGCTCAGGACGTTTGCGGAATGAATGGGGGCTCTCTGACGTGCACCCCACGGGCAAGTGGCATAGACTCCTGCTTCAGAGTCCCTAAGCCTGGTTCCTCGGTGTGTCCGGTGAGGTTCTCAGACAAGGCCGCCTCCCAAGACAGTCGGGGGGCGGCGAGGGGGCGCGCTCCCCTGGCTGAGGTTGTCAGTTCCACCCAGGAAGGGCTCTGAGACCCACCCCACACTTTAATTAAACTGATCAGGACATGCCCCCTGCTTCAGGACGTCCGAGGACACGCCCACCCAAAGCGGAAGAGGAAGAGAAGAACCCCCTGGCTCAGCAGAAGAAAGCCGTTGAGGGTACAAACCCCAGCCTCTCCCCCTCCCCTCACCCCCCTCACCGGAAGAGGAGCATCAGGGCCTGGAGGAAGGTCCGGAAGTTATTGTGCTCAGTGATTTGGAACTCGTCCTCATCACTGTCCTCGTCCTCGATGTCGATGCCGATGTTGCCAAACACCTGCGAGGGGGGGCGGTGATGACTGGGGCGCCCCGGCCCCGGCCCCGCCCCCGCGCTGCGCGGCGCGCACCTGCATCCCGATGATGGCGTAGATGAAGAACAGCATGGCGATCAGCAGGCAGACGTAGGGCAGGGCCTGCGGGGGGAGAAGGCGATGGGACGGGGTGTTGGGAACCCCCTTAGGGGCACCGTTTCCCTCCCTGGCCCTAGGGCTCCAGTTCTGCCAGATGCCGTGCCGGGCTGTGCCAGGACTGGTTGGGCCTATTTGATGGCTCTGGGATGAGGCACTGGGGTGGGGTGCGGGTGGGGGTGTCCCCTCAAGGTTCTCAGGGCACTCCCAGGGCTGGACGTTATAAGACGGGTGCCCTGCAGACAACAGAACCGCAGCCAGGATGGGCAGAGGACAGTTCCTGCCCGGGACTGTCCGTTCGGCCCTGGGAGAGGGGTGGGGGTGGGGGGCTCACCTTGAAGGACTGTACAAAGGTCCAGAGGAGAATGCGGATGGTGTAGCCCTGACGGAGGAGTTTGATGAGCCGAGCAGCTCGGAAGAGGCGGAGGAAGCTCAGATTGATGAAGTTATTCTGGGGAGGGGTGGAGAGAGAGGGGGTGACCATCCGCCTACCCCCAGGCGCTCCGAGCCGTCACCAATCACAGAGGCCCTACATATGAAGCCAACCAACAGGAAAAAGCAAGCCAGACCCCAAATAAGGAGGGAGAGGAGAAAAAGCACTATTAATGCCATGGTGCGGAGGAGGGGGAAAAACCAGAAAGGGACAAGACCGACGGACGGACGGAGTTGGGACAGAGAAGGGGTGGAAGATTAGGCATCAACTAAAAAAAAAAAAAGCATAAGCCCTCCCGGCCCGATCCACCCTCCAGGGAGAACAGGAAAGAAAACGGGGAGGAGAAAGGAAGGGGTTGGGGTCGGGGAGCGGGAGGCAGGAGGGAGAGGGAGGGAAGAAATCATAAAAGAATAAGGAAAAGAAAATATATCCGAATCATCCAATCAGGAAAAAAATCGAGATGGTTTTGTTTCTCCCAACAACCAAATGCACTGAGACGATAGGACACAAGCGGGTCAAGTTGCCGAGCCCGTCACACGTGTACGATGCGCAAACACCAGGCGGGGTGCGGGGCGGGGGCGGGGCAGCCAGCACGCTCAGGCCAGGTGGACGTGCGTGCGCCGAGGGCATGTTACGCTCCGGGCCAGAAATGCATCTGTCACGAGACTCACCGGGCACCCTGCCCTGCCCTGCCGAGCTGCCCGCCCGCTCCTGCCCGCCCTGACCTCACCCCACGGCCAGGGGGAGCAGGGGCTCCCTCCAGCCAATTGGGAGAAGCGGAAGAGCATCTTTTCTTACCCCCTTGGCGAGGAGCGGGAATGGGGAGGACGGGAGGGAGCTGGGGCGGTTCGGCTGCAGGGTGAGTCCTCGCTGCCCGCTGAGTCCGAGAAGATGCATTTGGGGCCCCTTTTCCCCCCTCTCAGGGATGGCTTCTCAGCTTCTGGGGCTGGGTGGAGTAGCCTGCGGGAAGCAGGAAGTACGCAGCTCCCGTGGGTGGGTGGGCTTGGAATCAGCCGGGCCCACCGAGGGCTGGGTGCTGGGTGCTGGGAGGTGAAGCCGTCCCTGCCCCCAGGACCTCCCTGGATGGCCCCTGCCTCTGCTCACAGAACCCCTGGCTAGCCACTGCCTTTGCCTCCTCCCACCCTAGCCAGAACCCTGGGGAGCAGGGGGTGTGTGCATGCTAGCGGGAGGGTGGGCACAGGCTGAGGGTGACACTTGCCTGTGGGAGGTGGGCCAGCAAGGGCTCCAGGGGCACTTGTGTGTGTGTGTGTGTGTGTGTATACCCACAAATAGAACAATCTGGGCCTCTGAGCAGCACTTAAAAACTATTAGAAATAGTAGCCAATGTTAAAAAAACCAAGCAAACAGATTTCACCCCACATCTGGCTTTTTGACAACATGGGTCTGCTGCTGGCAGTGGCAGCCAGTGGGGCGTAGCCACAGTTGCTCCCGCTAAACCAGCCGAGGTT